AGACCCTGGAGGAGACTCGCTGGAGTTTGGTCAAGGATAGAGTTCTGTTGCCTCACACAGGGTTTGTTGGTTCCTTGAGCAACAAGTCAGACTCAGGTCAGTAAAAGCAGGTGCGTTTGCCCATCTGCATCTGAGACCCAGAAGCAGTGCTCCTGGGAGCTTTACCGGCGAGAGGTAGAGGAATCACGCTCAGGTTAGAGACCAAACTCCAAGGCTCAGAGAGGGTTAGTGACTCTCCCAAAGCCTCACAGCAAATGCATGTCCTGTCCTTCTGTTGCAGGCATTTGAGGACGGAGTCCGAGACTGGAAACACGGCCCACGTCACTGGAAAACACAATTTCCAAGTCGAGAAGAGTGGCGGTCCTCAGGGCTGCTCCTGCTTTACCACCTCCGGGCCGGCCGAGGACCTCACTCTCTCCTGAGGCTGTTCCTTCAGTTTCCAAATAGTTTTGGTTACTATTAAGTTCTATGTGAGGGCGCCTGGGTGGCTCAGTCATTAAGCGTCTGCCTTCGACTCAGGTCATGATCTTAGGGTCCTGGGATTGAGCCCCGCAGCGGGCTCCCTGCTCAGCGGGAAGCCTGCTCTCCCTCTGTCCCTGCTTGTGCGCTCACGCGCTCTCTGTCTTAAATAATTAAATAAAATCTTAAGGAAGGAAGGAAGGAAGGAAGGAAGGAAGGAAGGAAGGAAGGAAGGAAGTTCTATGTGGTACCCCAGAGCATACTCTCATTTAAAATTAATTTTGCTAGAATAAAACCTCACTAAATTGAGCCTTCAGACCGGGATGGGAGACTTGACTTTTAATAAGTAAAAAGAGTTTCTCCGCTAGTGAATTTTCAGGGGCTCTCTTACCAATCAGGGAAATTCCGGCTAAAGCAGCTTCCTCCAAAGGAGGGCTCAGTACCCGGAAAGGGTTTTCAATCACGTCTTGCTGGATACAGAAATGAACTCTTGTGTGTAAGGTTGTCTTTTTGTGACCCCGGATTGTGTGAAGTGCACTACTTGTGAAGTTTAATAGCACCACTTAATTTTATAAAAATCATAAATGAGTGAATAAACGACCCACAGGTAAGCTTGCCAGAGCACATGCGGAGCGCCCCCCAGGAATTGGGAGGGTTCCGGATTGCCTTCAGGAATGCCCCGCCCAGAGGACGACCACCTGCTTCGCTCTCCTCCTGCTGCTTGCTCAGGGTTCCTGGCCTTCCACCTCCTGCCACCCTAGACACCCTAACTGGCCGTGCTCTCCCAGAAGTGACAGGAATGCTGTTTAAAATATTCTGGGAATTAGCCTTTTGATTTAGAAGTCTGGCCTTCTCCTTCCTGGATTTGCAGGGGGTCACAGTTGAACTCGCAATGAAGATTTTAAAAGCACAGGAACGTGGATGCAGCAAACTGAGAGGAAGCCGGCGGTCTGAGCACAGGCCCCAGCCCCTCTCCCATGAAGGAAAGGATCTGTGTTATTTGTTGAAGTGTTCTGAGTTGGCTTTCCACGTTTTGTTTGGAGTGTCCTTGAAAGGGCTGTGTTTGGATCCTGGGTTTGTTTTGCAACCTCTGCTTCATGGTGTTTGACTTTTATCAGTGTTTGTGCTTGGACCGTGTTTATTGTGAAAGTCGCCCGTGGGACCTGGAGTACAGACAGGCACATTGTCCATGCACTGGGGTTTCTTAAGACTTTCCAGCCCGAGGGCCAAATTTGTTTGACCTGGTTTGAAAAGGTGTGTGTATATACACATTTTTAACATTCTTATACATTTCCAGGAAGAAGGAGTTCTTAAATTTAATTCCTACTGGTGATTCTTTAGTAAGTGTTCTGTGGTTTCACGTGATTCTGTAATATTTGTGCTTGGTGAGTCCAGAGATATTCGGGAGCGGGTGGGGTAGCTCTGTGTGTGACTGTTTATCTGCTGATCTTTGTGACCTACTGAGAATGTAAGGGGAGGATTTGTGGGTTCGTTGCCACATGGTCTTGCTTCCCAGGTAGCTGGCTGCTATTTAAAATTTGGCTTTATCCGCTTAGCAGCTTGGTCCCTTCCAGACCTTTGCCACTAACCCTGTAAGGGCCCGTATGCCTGTCTCCAGTGGGTCTGTTCTTTGTGCTCCTGCAGACCCTTCCTGAAGACAGACTCAGACCTGCTTTTCATTTTTTTTTTTTAAAGATTTTATTTATATATTTGAGAGAGAGAGCACACGAGAGGGGGGAGGGTCAGAGGGAGAAGCAGACTCCCCGCCAAGCAGGGAGCCCGATGCAGGACTCAATCCGGGGACTCCAGGATTATGACCTGAGCCGAAGGCAGTCGCTTAACCAACTGAGCCACCCAGGCGCCCTACTTTTCATTTTAAATGTTCTGCTGCTAATCACTCCTGGAAAAACCCCAAAGGTACCCTTGATTATTATTATTACTTTTAGAGTAGTAAAGTTACAAAGCTTAAGAAAGTGTTTACAGAAGCCGACAACTCTGGATTCCTTTTATAAAATAGGTTTTTAAATTACTCAAGTAATACATGAATATATATTTGGTGTGAAAATATAAGCACTATTGAAGTATATAGTGTAAAAAGTTTCTCTATACAAATTGCTGGGTAGGAGGGTATGCACATTAGACTTTTGACAGCTATTAACAAATAGATCAAATTTGCCTTCTAAAAGTTCATACCATTTACACTGCTGCCAGGAGCCTATGAGGGCTTCCCTACCCTGTTCCCAACACTAGATGTGTCTTTATCAATGTTTGTTATACCTACTTTGATAGGTAGGCATCTTTTTTTTACTGAATTTAGATTTTAATTCCAGTATAGTTAGCATAGTATTATGTTAGTTTCAGGTATACCATATAGTGACTCAACAACTCTATGCTTTACTCACTGCTCCTCACAAGTGTCCCCTTCACCCCCATCTCACCTACTTCACCCATCCCCCACCCACCTCCCCTCTGGAGACCATCTGTTTTTTCCGCGGAGTTAATAGTCCCTTTCTGGGGTTGTCTTCTTTTCTTTGTTTTTTTCTTAAACTCCACATGTGAGTGAGATCATATGGTATTTGTCTTTCTCTGACTAATTTCACTCAGCATCAAATGCTAGGTAGATATCTTAATTTACACTTCCCCGATCACAACCCAGTTGAGTATCTTTCTGTATTTTATTCGTCTTTTCAGAGACAGGAAACGCATGTCACTTTGTACTTTGGAATGTGTAAGAGGGGCGAGAGATCCTGTGCGTCGAGATGGGTCCTCTGACTGTCCAGCTTGGGGTACAGGCCGGGTCCTGCCACGCCCCCGCCGACAGTGATGGTAACCTATCTTAGCTCAGTAAAGATCACCTGTGAAAGTCCCTTCTTGTGAAAGCCTGTAACCTACACCCACACATCTTTTCTGTCAGTGGTCCAGAAAGCCTGAGAATCCTTTCCCCACTCTGCCCCAGAACCTCAGCACTGCCTAGTGGG